AACCAGGAAAAAATATAGGCTTCAAAAAAGTTGAACAGAACCATCCCTCTCATATTTCATATGATCGTACTGGTATTTCACGACCAATCAAGATTCAAGATCAGATGTAACGTAACACGAACGTTCGTTTTATCAAAAATCGCTTATAAATTAAAATTTAATCTATGAAAGAGCCTTTTACACATTAGCAAAAATTTTTTTCTTGCAAAATTTTGGTATATAAAATGCCTTCGAATATAAACGTAGGAGCAAAGCCCTTAACCATAACCTAACAGCACAAATTTTACTTCAAAATAGGTTTGAAATTTTTTTGGGTGGCTATTCTACTCTAGTGGTATCACCTGAGGCAAAAATCGATCTGAGGCACAACATACGTACGTAAAGTTGATATCTGATATTGTATCACATGTAACACTTGTTCTACAGATCGTATGTCAACACACCTAGTGAGGAGTTTCAGAATTAAGAAAAAAAAGTGTATTTCAGAAATAAGTAGGAGTTTAAAAAATCTCATTTGTGTATCAAAATTTTGAAATCTGAAAATGAAATGAGAGTGTTTAGAGACACCCATTTAACGAAATAAATAAACTTTTCAGCGACAAAAATCGGTTCAAATTTATTAGAAAATTAAATAAAGTTGATACATCGCTCTTTTGAAAATAAATACGTCCTGAACATTTTGCGGTAGAATGTAAAGTAAGTCAAAGAATATGGAATATAACGTACAACTTCCTAACGACCTCTTCCAACGATAAACCTCCACGAACTTTCGAAGAAGTATTTTTCAGCTTCAAACATAACGGAACCACGGAAACGTAACGCTGCGTATTGTTGCATATCGTTAGTATATATGAAATTTGGTGTTTGTATACCTAGGCTAAGTGGGGAAAGAAATTAATATTGGAAGATGTTTTATTTATGATAGTTAAAAACAGATTGATCAAGGAGTTAAAGAATCAACCAGGGGGCCTTCAAAATTGCGGGTCATATGACAACACATATGATGCACGGTGCGTTGCAATCTCATAAGTTATCGTTATTGTTACGTAGTACGTACATTTTCACAATTAATTTTAATTTATGCGGACATGCGATTCAGGAGTTAAAAGTATTGAATTCAATGCAGAAGGATAAAGAATAGCTAAATTTCTTAAATTAGAATCAATTAATCTCTAGAAGAGCAC